CAACACAGTGATGCTCTCGGAAAATAAATGGTTAATATCAAAAAGAAACTCCATAATACCTCTCAGACTGAGCAGCTGCACAGCTGTAACGTTAGCGTGTAAGCTAATACCTAACAGACGGGAGACAGGGTGCTTAGATAGCTAGCTAACGGGGCTGCTGACTATCCGATTCCCCAGCTGATGCGTTAGCGCAAAACCACCAGTTAGCTAGCTGCTAGCAGCCTAAACACGGCAGCGTTTCAACGCTGCTTAGACAGAATAGGTGGCACTAAATAAGTCTCTGTAGGAATGACAAAATCAGGTACCTTTTGTTTACACTGTCACTACAGCTCCATTGTCCAGTATTGTCTCTGATTATGAGCCTCACCCCGGTAACATAAACCGTAATATGAGTAATACACAGTGACTCCTGTATAACTACAGAACTCAGGTACTGTTAATTAGCATCCCTGAAAATACCGCGGTCAAGTTAGACGTCCTTCTTTTTTGCGCTTCTTTGTGTGCAATTACGGTATGGGAGCGACCTCCTTCTTCTTCTTCTCCTGGTGTTTATTGGCGGTTTGCAAGCCAACCTAAGATGCATTACCGCCACCCGCTGGGCTGGAGTGTGGAACGATAATAGAGCCGTAGAAATACATACATATATATACTCCACACAGAAAGGTCACGGGTGGGGCCCGAACTCGAAACCTTCTCACTGTGAGGCAACGGTGCTAACCACTGCGCCACCGTGCTGCCCGTATTGCAACCAGTTCAACTGTAAATACTGACAAGTGATCAGATGTTCTTTCCCTTATAACTACTCTACGTTGAGGAATAACTACAGCAGCACACGTTCGACCAGACTCAGCATCTTTGGATCCTTCAGTAAATATCATTAATTTATTTTTGTAATATCGGCCTATAAAACCCCAAAATTGACCTTTACTGGGTGTAGAGTAGAGTAGATACTTTATTGATCCCACAGTGGGGAAATTTCTGTGTTACAGCAGCAATAGAGAACAACCAACATAACACCATAAGAACAGACACATAAGAACAGAACTTCATAAAAACATGGAAAAGATCACAACGAGGACAGCTGCTGTAACTTGCTGCCACTCCACGCGGCACATGCGTACATAAGTACGTAGTAACAAAGAACACTTAGTCTTAAAATAAAAAGTTACATAAAGTGTAGTGGATGAGTATGTAGGTAAATGAATGTCATTAAACTTTCATTTAACTTATGAGATAAATTGTATCATGTCAAAAATCCTAATGTGTGTGCATTAATATATCTGTTAGGATTGCTCGGCACAACTGTGAGCGAGCAGAGAATTAACAGACCCAGGCGGCTGGCTTCGGTGCAAGTAGTGAATTTATTTAACAGTGCTAACAGAGGTGCACATAAATATATACAAAGTGGAAGGTAGGAATTCACCGGGTGTTGACCAACAGTAGTGGAGGGGTTATTGTCCGTGGAGTGATGTTAGACCGGGCTGCGGGGGGTAGGAGTCACTCCTGGGCTGGTCAAGGTGGAGATCCGGTAGAGTGAGGAGGTAACAGATAGTTCAATGAATGTGGAGACTGTGCATCGACCTGTGATGGTGGTTGGTGGAGCTGAGGAAGCCAAGGTCCAGAGGAGAGGTCCAGGTAAGAAAAAGGAGGCACTAGGAATAAATAACATACGTGGAATCAGGAGAAGACGCACAACACATAAATACAAGGGAGGCTGACGACAGAGAAAGAACTAGCAAGGGAGTGATAGTAAAGCCAAGTATAAATAAGGAGTGACAAAGGAGGCGCAGCTGAAGAGTGTCAGAAAATCAGGGCAGGTGTGTCTAATCAAGAAAATCAGTGTAAAGGAACAGACTAGGGCGAGAAAGAGAGAAAGAGAGGAAGGTGCAGCCGGGCAAACCTGACAATATCACTGTACAGGTTTTAGAAATTTAAAGGGGAAATCCCCACTAATTACATTGTAACTGATGAAGTCCTCATATTTGGAATTCCATAAAAAGATTTTCTTTATAGGTTTGCTCCAACTCTCATGATTCCTGCTCTGCTGAACTATGATCACACAAAATATGAAATGATATTAATGTGCAGTTGTTGAGAAAATTAATGGGAAAGTACTCACTAATAATACTGTAAATGACAACACCCTCATATTTGGACTGCCATAAAAAGATTTTCTTCAGAGGTTTGCTCCAACTCTGACCTGATTCCTGCTCAGAGTGACCTAGGCTATGATCACATAAAATATAAAGTAAGATTACTGTATATTTAAAAACAAATTAAAGGAAAAATCAGCACTAAATATACTGTAACTGTAACAATTAGATTTTATTTGTGTATTCACAACAAGAATCATCTCAAGTCACTTTACATAGAGAAAAACCCTCCAAAAATCCCCCTTGAACAAGCATTAGGTGATAATGGAGAGGAAAAACTTGCTTTGACAGAAGAAACATCTGACAGTCCCCAGTTGTTGGTGGGTGACCTTCTGCTTCCACTGGTTTGGGTGAGTGGATGGAGGAGAGAGAAAAAGAAAAGCATCAGTATATAATAGAAAAAAACCAACAACAATCAAACGCTGGTCAGGTTGATGTGGCTGGTGACTGCTCATCAGAGACGCTGAGCTCCAGAGCCAGGGAAACCTGCAGAAGGTACAGGGAGAGAGAGAGGAGACACTACGGGAGAGAGGGAGGACACACTACGGGAGAGAGGAAACACTACGGGAGAGAGGAGACACACAGTTAGTGTAGTGGTGGCATAAAAATACATGGAGCAGAAAGGAAAGGAGCTCAGAGCATCATGATAAGGCTCTATGAGGCCTTTAAGATACGATGGAGCTTTGTCATTAAGGGCTTTGTATGTTAGGAAAAGAATTTTAAATTCTATTCTGAATTTTACAGGGAGCCAGTGGAGAGAAGCTAATATGGGAGAGATATGATCTCTCTTGCTAGTTCCTATCAGTACTCTGGCTGCAGCATTTTGGATTAACTGGAGGCTTTTTAGGGAATTATTGGGACACTCTGCTATCTGAGGATTGTTAACCTTTTATCTATATAAAGATAATGTAAATTAATTCACAAAAGGAGAACAGATTTGGACTCCAGTAAAAAGTTTTTTCCCTGAGGTTTGCTCAAACTCTCCACTGATTCCTGCATGACCTGGATGATCACACATCATTTGAAGTAATCTTACTGCTCAGTATTCTAGAATATTAAAGGGAAGGTCGCCAAACAATATACTGTAAATGAAGATTTCCTTTCAACTCATAAAAACTTTTTATTGAAGGTTGCTCAAACAATGATATTGTGGCTTTATAACTGGATAAATTGCGGAATACTTTGCCAATTAATATTAGATAGTTACAGACTTGGGAACTTTTAAATCTCTGCCGAAGACCAATTTATTTTAGCTTTTGCATCATACTGCAGTTCTGATATTTTCCACTTGCTCTGTTTGTATGTTTTCCCTTGTTTCCTAATTATATTGTGTAAAGTACTTTAAGTACTTTGGTCAACATGTTGTTTTTAAGGTGCTATATAAATAAATTTGATTTGAAGATGTGCACAGTAATACTCAATCCTTCACAATTTCATATTTTTTCACATTTGGCTACAAAAGTTATATGTATCAGTTTAATCCTTGTAATTCACTGAACTCCACCATTAAATGCTAGTATAGGTTTATGTTAGAGATGTAGCAGTTTTACAGTAGTTAAAGTACTTTTACTCATAGTAGTAGTAGCAGAAGTAGTAATAGTAGAATAATCCTGGATATTAATTGAGAGTGTTGTCCCATGACAGTCTTAATTTTCCAGAGGATTTTCATTTAGAATTTTTGGAAATGTTTTATCCTTGGAAATGATATAGCACTCCTCTGTGGAAATGCTTTTGTGTTGCAATACTGCCCGTCTGTCAACATGAACAAAAACTATGCATGCACATCAAGTCAACGGTTCACTTTACAAAAGGAGAGTGGAAACCACCGGCTTCAAACGAGAGGAAAGAGAGGAAACCACAGGTTTCATGACGATTGTCTTTCTACCTGTTTTGATCCACCTTTAAAAACTGTGAGAATCCTTCCTCACCTCTCCTTCTCTCCCGATCTTCC